CCATTTTTCCAATCATATAACTGAGTATTCTTTGCACAAATAAACTCCTACTAAGGAAAATGCTATTTAATAACTACTTAATCTCTTTAGGTGTACCACATGTTTAGTGGTAAAGTTTCAAACAACTTTGAGAATCTTTTCTTAAGAGTAATAAGAGTCTGTTTTCTTTTTAATATAGTGAACAAATATTTAAGTTCTGAAAATCCACTGTTCTTTGAACTGCGTGCCAGATACCTAATTGCTTGTGAACGCATACCTGAAGCAATGGCTCTTATTAAATCTTGTATAAATCACCCAGAAATCAGCAAGGACTTGTACTTCCATCAAGCGCTCTTCACATGTCTGTTTATGTCACCTGTAGAAGATCAGCTATTCCGGGAGGTATTGTTTAAGATTATGTTTGCCTATTACTATTTTAACCTTACCAAAAATAAAAAAAAGTTGCCCATTCTTGTAAAATTCCTTTTACTGTAACACCAAAAGTTTTAAGATTACATTATCTAGATGTGTTCTCATTGGCATCATTCTTTAAGCTCCTGTTCAATTAGACAATCTGATACTAACAAATGATGAAATTAACAAAAGTCATCAATAGCATTATTCATCTTGAGCTTCTTGTGACAGATAAGAGGTTAAATAAAAACTGAGAAGCATTTTAAATAAAAATTTCAATTAATTATTCAGCACTTTTTAAAATACATTTGTATAAAGTATTTTGCCTTTTAAATAAAATACTAAGAAATTAAATGCTCATGTTTGTTATTTTGCTTTTTTTTTAAGATGAAAGAATTAATCTTTTCCTAGTAGAACCTATTTATCTACAAGGTGTGGACATTAATGAGATTAAAAGTAGTCATAAAACTGTAGGTTTTATATAGTGAAACTATGGAAATATTTCTGTATAATTCATCATTGTCTTTGTAGAAGAAAACCAGAAATCTAATTTTTTTCCTGAATGTTAACTCTACACATTTAATGGAATTAGCTTTTTTTTTTTTTTTTTAAAGATTTTATTTATTTATTCATGAGAGACAGAGAGAGAGAGGCAGAGGGAGAAGCAGGCTCCCAAGGAGCAGAGAGCCCGATGCGGGACTCGATCCCAGGACCCTGGGATCATGACCTGAGCTGAAGGCAGACGCTTAACCATCTGAGCCACCCAGGTGCCCTAATGGAATTAGCTTTTTAGGTATTTTTAATGATATGGACTGATTTTTCTTTTCCTTTTATAGCATTTATTGAAAACTGATTGTAAGAGTGGAATTGATATCATCTGTAACACTGAAAAAGAAGGCAAGACTATGTTAGCCCTGCAACTCTGTGAATCCTTTCTTATTCCACAGCTCCAGAATGGAGATATGTACTGTATCTGGTAAGTGTTCCCAATACAGAAACTGAAATGATAAGATGGGGAACAGAAGGAGAATTGGTCAGCAGAGTCTGGACTTTGTTTTTCAAAAAGTTATGTGAAAATGTTAAATCGCTTTTTAAAAATTTATTGTGCAAGAAACAACAGTAAGTTGTAAGATGTAAAAAAGTCAATGACCATGTACCAGTAATTGACAGTGTAAATGTTTAAAGTATGTATTATAATGAAACAATTGTATTTTAAATTAAATGTGGAGTGTTAGTTTTTTAAGACTTTATTTTTTAGAGCCGTTTTAGGTTTACAGCAAGATTGAGAGGGAAGTACAGACATTTCCCATTATATCCCCATCCCCATACATGCATAGCTTCCCCCATTATCAGCAGTACTCAAAAACAAAACAAAAAACATTACTCAACAGAATGGTAATTTTTTTTTTTTTTTTTTAAACCAAGGATGAACCTAAGTGGTATATCATAACCACCCAAAGTCCATAGTTTATCCTAGGGTTCACCATTGGTGTTATATAATCTATGGGTTTGGATAAATGTATAATGAAATACATCCTTGTAATTATACAGAGTATTTTCACTACCCCAAAAGTCCTCTGTGCTCCACCTATTCATTTCTTATCTCCCTCTCCTCTCCCTCACCTCTGGAAACTACTGACCTTTTTACTATTGTCATTGTTTTGCCTTTTCCACAATATTATATAGTTGGAATTATACAATATTGTATATTGTATATATACAGTGTGTTGTATATATACAATATTGTATATTGTATATACAGTGTATAGCCTTTTCAAATTGGCTTTTTTTCACTTAGTAATATACATTTAAGGTTCCACCATGTCTTTTTGTAGCTTGATAGCTCATTTCTTTTTAGTGTTGAATAATATTCCATTGTCTGGATGTACCAGTTTATACATTCAACTACTGAAGGACATCTTGGTTGCTTCCAAGTTTTGGCAACTACGAATAACGCTGCTATGAACATCCTTGTGCAGGTTTTTGGGTGGACATAAGTTTTCAGATCCTTTGGGTAAATACCAAGGAGCACGATTACTGAAATGTATGGTAAGAGTAGGTTTAGTTTTGTAAGAAACTGCCAAACTTGTCTTCCAAAGTGGCTGTACCGTTTTTTATTCCCACCAGCAATGTATGAGAGTTCTTGTTGTTCATCCTCACCAGCATTTGCTGTTGTCAGTGTTCATAATTTGGCCATTCTAATAGGTGTGTAGTGGTATCCTGTTCTAATTTGCATTTCCCTGACAACGTATGATGTGGAGCATCTTTTCATATGCTTGTTTTTATATCTTCTTTGGTGAGGTGTTGGTTAAGTTTTTTGGCCCATTTTAAATCAGATTATTAGTTTTCTTTTTGAGTTTTGAAAGGTCTTTGTATATTATGTATAGTAGCCCTTTATCAGATGTGTCTTTTACAAATATTTTCTCCCAATCTGTGGTTTGTCTTTTAATTCTCTTGATACTGTCTTTCACAGAGCAGAGTTTTTAATTTTTAAACAAAGTCTAGCTTATCAATTATTTCTTTCATGGATCATGATTATGGTGTTCTAAAAAGACATCACCATATCCAGGATCATCTAGGTGTTCTCCTATGTTATCTTCTAGGAGTTTTATAGTTTTGCATTTTATGATTAGGTCTGTGATCCATTTTGAGTTAATCTTTGTGAAAGGTATAAAGTGTGTATCTAGATTCAATTTTTTTTTTTTGCATGCGGATGTCCAGTTGTTCCAGCACCATTTGTTGATGAGACTGTCTTTACTCCATTGTATTGCCTTGGCTCCTTTATCAAAGATCAGTTGACTATATTTATGTGGGTCTATTTCTGGGCTCTCTGTTCTGTCCTCTTGATATATTTGTCTTTTCACCAATACAACATTGTCTTTATTACTTTAGCTTTATAAATATGTTTCAAAGTGGGGTCTCATCAGTCTTCCAGCTTTGTTCTTCAATATTCTGTTGGCTATTCTGGGTCTTTTGCCTCAATATAAACCTTAGAATCAGTTTGTTGATATCCATAAAATAACCTCGTGGGGTTTTGATTGGGATTGCATTGAATTTGTAGATCAAGTTGGGAAGAACTGACGTCATGACACCATTGTTTTCCTATCCATGGAAACATGGAATATTTCTCCATTTATTTAGTTCTTTGATTTCATTCATTAGTTTTGTAGTTTTCTTCCCACAACCCCTGAGATCATGACCTGAGCCAAAATCAAGAGTCAGACCCTTACTGAGCCACCCAGGCACCCCAGGTATAGGCATTTTTTAATCAATACTTTTGAATTTTAAATTCTGAAATATGTATTTTTCACAAACTTTCTCTTTAATAGATAAACTTAACATCAGTGGGAAGTTTTAATAGAGTAGAAAGCCTTCACTATATATTGTCTATATTTAAAGTTTATTTTTCTGAAGAGAGAAATTCCACGACTAATGTCCCTGAAGATAAGAAATATAAGAAATAAAATAAACTGCTAGTTTTTTAAAATTGTTTAACCTGGTGGTTACAGCTTAAGTTAAAGTTATATGTTGGTTTGAGTGATTGGTAGTGATAAAAATTATCCAGAATAGTGAGTCAAGATATATTTGGGCTTTAAAAGGATACCACACTACTAAAAACAGCAATTTTTATCCTTTAGGAATCAGTCAAATTTAAACACGTTTTACATTATATGCTTCAGTCTAGTTTATTTCTGGTAATAGTTTTTGAAAACTATCACCATAACAGGGTTTATTTCCCAGGGGGACTTAAGTAGTGAACCACAGCCACCAAGCACCATAAAAAAGACATTTCAGTCACCAGTGCTTGTTCATATATCTTCTCTGTACTGTCCTGATAGCCACACTCTCTACCTCAAGAAAACTGTCATTTTCATAACTAGTTCCCAGACTGTTAGGTCTGTCATACTTTAGCACTCTTCTAACCCCATCCATCGCTCCTCAACCCCGCCATTTACACACACAATTATAAATTGTTACATGCATTAAGCAACCTTAAGGAATTTAAAATCTGTCATTCTAGTATCAAGTAGCTCTTTAAAAACTTTAGTAAGCATTAATTCAGTCACACACAGGGCTTGTTAATGCAGGTTTTCATGCCTACTCTCAGAGCTTTTAATTGCATAGTTCTGGGTAAGGAACTGTACTTTTTTATCTTTCCTCTTCGACATTTTAATTATTATGTGTAGTGGTGTGGACCTCTGTGGGTTCATCTTGTTTCAAACTCTCTGTGCCTCCTAAACCTGGATGTTGTCAGCTATTATTTCTTCATGTAAGTTCTCTGCCCCTTTCTCTCTCTCTCTCCACCTTCTAGGACCCCTATAATGTAAATGTTTGTTTGCTTGGTGTTATCTAAGAAATCCCTTAACCCATCCTCATTTTTTACAATTCTTTTTTCTTTTTGCTGTTCAGCTTGGGTGCTTTCCATTACCCTTTCAGACCGCTGATCAGTTCTGCATTCACTCATCTGTTGGTTCCCTTTAATGTATTTTTCACTTCAGTTTTTGCACTTGTCAACTCTGGTGGTTCTTTTTTATATTTTCTATATCTTTAATGAAATTCTCACTGAGTTCATCCACTTTGAACTTTTTATCAGGTGGATCACTTACCTGTTTCATTTAGTTCTTTTTCTGAGGTTTTTTCCTTGTTCTTTCATTTGGAGCATATTCCTCTGTCTCCTCATTTGCTTGACTTTCTGTTTTTGTTTCTATGAATTAGGTGGAACAGCTGCTTCCGCACCTGAAAGAATGATCTTGTGTATGGTCATCTCCTGTGTAAACTGTGTGTGCCTGGTGACTTTGGCTAGCTGGCTCAAGCTGTGGCTGGCCCACTGTGTACTGGGGCCACGCTGGTGGGAAGGCCGGAGCTGAAGTGGATGTAGGCTAGGGTGGTGCTGGGGTTCTCTGCACAGAAGGTACACTGGCACAGAACAGCTGAAGCTGAAGTGGGTGCAGGGTGGTCCCAGGGCTCTCCTGTGTTGAGGGTGACAGCAGATGGTAAAGTGGGTACAGGCTGGGGTGTCCTGGGATACGCTGTGTAGGGGGTTGCCCTCATGGGGCAGGCGGAGCAGAAGCAGGTATGGACTATGGTGCCCTGGGATGCTCTGCTCCAGGGGTACTCTGGCAAGTTGTCTGGAGCTGAAGCGGTGTGGGCCTGGAGTATTTCAGGGTGCTTTGTGCCTGTGTTACCTTGTCAGGTAGTCTGGAGCTATAGTGAACACTGACTACAGGTGTCCTGGTGGGCACTACACAGGGGCTGCCAGTGGGACAGTTGGGACTGGTATGGGTAGAGGACCAGGGATCACTGAGGCAGTACAGTGCCCGGACCATGCTCCTGTCCATGCTGTCAAGGTGGATGGGGAATGTAAACTGTGGTGCTTGACAGCCCCACTGACTTAGAATGAGAGTTCCAGCAGTGTCCCTGACATTTGGCAGAGTTCTAGGGCCAGATTCCTTATATTCTAGTTGCCCTTTTAAACTGCAGCTTTGTGTGTGTGTGTGTGTGTGTGTGTATGTCCGCGCGTGGGTGTGTGTGTGGGTGTGTGTGCATGCCTCAGGACAGATGAATCTGCTTGCAGACCCTCAGTACTACCCCTCCCACTGCAGTGCACAGTGTTGGGAGTGGGGGTTCCCTTCATTACCGTGTCTCCATCTTTCTTGCTGTTCTCTATGTGGTCTTCCTATCTTTTGTTGTGTAGAAGTTGTTCAGTCAGTCCTTAGTTCTTCAGGAGGAACTACTCTATAAATGGTTATAGATTTGGTGTATCCCTGGAGAAGCTGAGTTCAGGGCCTCCCTATGTTGCCATCTTGGACCTAAATTCTTAAATATTTAAAACAGCAGCTTGAAGATGGATTTAATGATTTTTAAGAGATTAAAATCTTCAGATTTTAGAGATTAAAATCTTCAGACTCAGAGATATAGTCAAATAGCTAAATTAGTAGCAGAGCTGGGTCTAGAAACTAGTGGGCTTCTAAGGGAGTATACTTTTAGTTAGATTATGCAAATCTGTATTAAAAAGTTTACCGTGTAAATTGGAATTTCAAATAGAGGGGATCAGGAAACAGTGGTAAGACATACAAGTTTAAATAGTTTTTAAAATATTATCATTTCTTTCTTTCTTTTTTTTTTTTTTTTTTAAGAGTGGGGGGACGTGGGAGGGGCAGAGGAGAGGGAGAGAGAGAATCTCAAGCAGGCTCCACACCAACCCATGCCTCAATCTCACAACCCTGAAATCATGACCTGGGCCAAAATCAAGAGTTGGGTGCTTAACCGACTGAGCCACCCAGGTGCCCCTAAAGTATTACCATTTCTTGATAATGTAGTTAGGATATAGTCATGACTATTATAGTAGATCTTTTCCTATGGGGAAAGGAGGAAAGGAATGTTCTGACTTCAGCTATATTAAGCTATTTAAACAGGATATCTTAGCCTTTTCATTTTAATATACTCATAAGTAAATTGGAATCTCAAGTATAAACAAACAAACAAAAAGACCAAGAAGACATTCTATTTTCTTCTTTTGGCTAACCATTTAACTCTTTAGGGAGGGACCTTAAAAATAGAAGAGTGCCTATCTTTCCTGCCCCCAGCTACTGGCACCCTCTAAGAATAGAAGCTGGGTATGCAACTCCCAGCTGCCTAACTGTTCTTTGTCCTTCCTTCTGGGTAGGCGGAGTTCTGATTGCCTGCTCTTTTATTTCTTCTAACTCTCTATATTTCTGAATTGCTGGGATCCTTTTTTCTTGCTTCTCAATATTGATTTTCACCGTAACTGAAGAGCAGGATTCTTTCCAGCCTATATGGTCTGTGTTGTCTATTTCATTTTGGCCTTCCTTATGAACCAGCTTAACCTCGTCTCCCCTCTCTGTGGACAGAACCTGATCCACAGTTCAGTTTTGCTCTATCTGAAGCCAGTGGAGCAAGTTACCAACCCCATTTCTCTCAACCATTGCTAACAACAACTACTAGTAATAATAATAGCAGCTACTAATATCTACTGAGTGCTTTCTACAGTCTATACTTTGTATATGCATTCTCTTATTTATTCCAATAATCTTAAGGGATAGATACTATTATGCCTAAACCATGCAACTAGTAAATAATGAAGCCAGGATTCATACCCAGGCAGCCTGACTCAGAGCCTCTGCTGTTAAATACTACTTATTATACATAGACCTGCACTCTCTGCAACTTGATGATTTTATTAGTCGTTAGCTACCTGGGAAATGTGTTTGTACACCATATAGGTGCTGTGTTTTCTGAAGGACCCTCTGTTTGAAAAGAAAATGTAAGCTTCATAAACAGTGCTTGCACATAAGCAAAGACGACTATCACTGGTTTTCAGGGTGTTTATACAATCAAAATCCATTGTGTAAGTAAAACCTTAGAACCCTTTGTAAATTCAGTCAAAATGGAGCTTCATAACCATATCCTGAGATTTCTGCTTTGCTTGCTAGAAAGCTAAAATCCATATTGGTAGCCCTTTTCTGGTAAATTTATCAGGATCTTGAGATTACATTTTGTTCACCAAGTTTCATCCTGAATTAAGAGAAACAAAGGGAAATAAGATCTTGCTCTTCAAAAAAGAATAATAATAATAATATTGTATTCTAAGGAGTCTTAAGAGTCTCAACTTTTTTTTGGAGCAAGTTGGAGAATAAATATATACATTTCTAATATGTTAAACGTTCATCTGTGTAAAATTAAATGCAATGAAATACTCTCCCATAACTTCCAACTATCATTTTTTACTTTTTTCTCTTTAAATCTGTTGCAGAGATATGGCATGTCTTCTTAAACAGTTAATCTGCTTGCCTTCTACCTCATCCCTTTGTTCATAAAATAACCCTTATTTAGAATGTCCACCATCATCTTTATATCATTCTGTCTACAATTTCCCTTAATATATTTCCTGAAGAGACTCCTCCTAAATGTCTTTGCATTTAGGAATACATTTTTTTTTTCTTTTACCAATTTATTAACTACCAAATATTTATTGAATAAATCTCACTGCTTGGTACTATTAAGACTGTAAAGATAAGGAAAGAATATAGGAAATTAGTGATTTATTAAACATTGGTATATACTGGACATTTCACCTAGGTGTTTTCACTTACCTCTCTTAATTCTTTTTATGTATAAGAAAACTGGATAAAAGAGAAAAGCCACATAGGTAGTAACAAAATGGAGTTGGGATTTATACTAGTCAGTTTGCAAGTGGTAGCACCCTATGTCTAATTAGTTTAGGGAAAAGGTATTGGGCATGGAAAAAATACTGGGGTATGACAAAAAAAAGGGGGGCAGGGATATAGTAGGTACCCAAATACAACTGCTACCAGGGACACTGATTTGTCTTTTCTGCCAGTTGACTTCATTCTCTCCTGTTGCAGATCAGAAGGATGTGAACAGTCTCCAGCCTTCATAGTTTAGAGTTGAGAACATTCCAGGGACTCTGGCCTAACTGGGGTCAGTTTTATACCCCTGACTTAATATTTTAAGGATGGTGAGAAGGTTCATATAGGAAACATGGCCATTGGTGTTCCAACCTTGTGTAGTAGGGCTACTTCCAGAGAAAGGTGGCTCAGTGTGAACTGGGTAATATCACACCTATTGAGAAATCTCTTATTCCCAGTCTCATGTTCTTCTTGCCACTACTTTGCCTATATAATGTGCCACTGAGATTTACAATGTAGTAATAGTTGGGGGGACAGGACCTACAAAATTAGAAAATATCAACAAGGAAATACATGAAAGGCATGAAATCAACAAGAGGGATAAGATCTGTTCTAAAGTAGTTATCACTTTAGTTTGGGGTATTCATGAAGGCATTCATGAAGAAGGTACTTGATAATAAGCTCATCTTAGAAATGAGGTACTTTCCCAGTACAGTAAATTAGCATAAACAAAATGAGAATAAACAAAGCACATTAACTGATTAGCCTTGAAGAGTGCACAGGATTAAAATCCTATCCTTCTGACCCCAAAACCCATGTTTTTGTTGCTATTAATACTATGTGACATATGAAATACACTGAATGAAATGATTTGAAAGTCTGGAAACAGATCAGCTTAGCAACCCCTGTAGAAGTACATATGTAAGATTAGAAGACTTAACGTAGTAGTACTGAGAAAGCATGGTATGGTTGTGGGCAAAAATATAATTGAAATACATAGGCTGTGGGAAATAAACGGATTAGAACCAAACAGGTTTGAGGTATGTTTAGTGTCACTGACTGACCTAGGAAAAGATAGTCAGTTTTGCAAGAGTATTATTTATTCTGAGTGGATTCTGGTGGTAGACAGCAATCTAAATTGAAATATCCAGGCATAGAAATTGGAAAGAAGTCAGAGCTAGAGATTTGGGAGCAAGGTGTGAAACCTGGTGAGCTTTTATGTATGCAAAAAAAGTGGGGTTGTGGATTGAAACTTATGAACACCCACACACAGCTAGAAGGAGATGGAATTAGAATTTTGGTTTTATTTCTTCTATGTTGCTTGCTATCATTTTCTCTTTTGTGTTTTCTGTATTGTCTCTCTAAGTAGACTATGTGCACCTTCATGATAGTAGTCAAGCTGTCCTTAGACTTAATAGCTGTATGTGTTGGGCTCAAAGTACATACTCAGTCAGTCACTTAAAAAAAAATGCATCAATTATTTTAATACTTTTTAGATTATGGTGCTTTATGTCACTTGACACATTTTAAAGAGTTATAATTTACTAGCATATGATATCTAAATAT